TTTATGAAGTAATCATAGTCAATGGGTTATAACAAAGTAAATACTACACTAGAACACTTGAATAGTATCCTGTCAAGTGAGTTTTTAAGGTTTGGATATGTTCTTAATGGCATTACTAATACTTCTGGATCAATTTCATAGTTATTTTTGACCATTTGTGATCATTCACACTTATGAAAACTGGATATAAAATACCATCTGATAGCTTTTTATATCTCTTTGCAGAAGAGCAACATGAACTGCAGAGTTATAATACACAAGAACCTCTTATGTACAACAGCAGTTCTTGCAGCAAAACTGTCACTGAGCTTCTGTTTCAAAATACATATGATGATATTATAGTTCCCATGGTTATTGAAGGGATTCCTTATTGTTTCCTGCGCCTCTGAATCCAGTACTGAGCCAACATGAATAATGTATTTTAGTAAGGATCACAGAGGATATAGATCATGAAATAGTTACAATGCCATATGGGCATATCAGAGAGAATCTATTCTTATGTCATTCTTCCAGTGAGATGGGGAGATGAAAGACTTTTTAAAAAGGCTTCCATAAAGAGGTGAGACTTGCTGTTCTCTGGAGACAAGTGTGACTATCTGCAACAGCTGGCAGAATGGAAGTCAGGCAAGATTGCAGAGGAGCCTCAGGCTCTGGTGTTACAGTCAGTTGAGCCCTCTCCATGAAAAAGAAATGGAAAACCACAGTAACAGCATAGCCAAGAGATACACACTGAGGTTTAGAGCAGGCAAATTCACCCTAAAGTGCAACATACAATTCCCTAATGTTGGCACATTTCCTTTCCATGAATCTTGCTTCTCTTTCCAAACAAAACTGTACAGTTTTGTTTTTGAAAAGTCGTGCACATTTTCTATTCCCTTACACTTCTGTTTGATAGAGCAGTACTATTCATAAATCTTCTGGTACTGGAAAGAAGAATTAACCTTTAGCAGGTTACAGAAAGAAATGGAAATCACTGCACCATTTGGCCAGGTTTATTGCTAGCTCTATGGAATTCACAGCTGAAGGATTTTTAATACCTTGCAAATACTGACAAGTAAAACATCGCCATCTCTAAGAGATAGAAAAACAGTATTATCTTATGCTTTGCAACTCCAGACACAGGCATAAGGAACGGTTAAGGATATGCAGCAACTCCTAAACAGTGTCAGAAATACAAACAAATTCATTCCTATTCCCTGGTCTGCATATCTCTCCCTTTGTGTAATCGGCTATGTCTCTGAGCCATCATATACTAGCCACTGCCAGAGCTGCAATGTTGTGGTTAAGGTGTCTACACTTGATCTAACCTAGTGGAGTCTGTGAACAGTCCTATGTGCCTCTTACTAAGACCTAGCTCCCTGCTGTGCGCTTCTGAATTGCTGTCCTTTATACCCATCCGAAATTGAAAATCCCTCCACACACACTTAAAAATAAAAAATACTTAAAAAAAATACTTTTCAATACCTCTGCTGAAATTTTGTCATGTTTGTTCTGTTTCCCATCACACAAGCATACTCTTGCAAAAAATAAAAATAATAAATCTATGCCTTAAAATAGAGCCTTGCTTTGCTTCACTCATGGTTCTTCAACTTTGCTTGTGCCATGACTCAAGATGACAGTTATGAATATTCTATGACTTTTATTTCATAGTTCTTCAGATCTGAGTCCCTGATACTTCTAAGAACAGTGTTTACTTAGGTCCTCACCTTTCTTTTTACCCACTCCAGACTTACTCAGCATGACTATCTACTGCACTCTGAGACTTTGTTAAAAGCAAAATGAAAAAGTACTTACACTGCTGGGATATATGAGTGGCAAAGGAAGCAGCAAAAGTGGAATGAGAAAAACCAGCAAGAGATTTCTGGATCTGAGAATTTGCTTCACCATTGCCATACTCCTTTGCTTGAGTTGATTTCTTCTTCGTCAGATACTCCAGTTTCTACTCCAAGTTCTCCTTCACTTTTGCCCAACTAGTCACGTAAAAGGGCTTTCTTATTTTTTTTTCTTCAATTTGATATTTTAAAACCAAGATTTAATTATTTTTCTATTAAAAAGACATTCAGTTTAGGTAGGGCTTACCAGCTCATCCAAATGATTATCACAACACAACATGCAGAAGTTTTCAAGCTGGAGCATAGTGATCTCTGGACAATATTTATTTTAGATTCAGAATCACAAGTGTAGTAGTGCTTGCTTCTTATCCCCATGTTTTTGGAGATTTTTCTCTTCCATTGTCTGATTTGCAGTAATGTAGTTCCTGTATTCATAAACAAGGTCGAATATTCCTATAGCGGCTTCCAGTATTTTCTGGTGTTGCTTTCCTTCTTTTTAGTAGTCTGAATGCCTCAAATACAGATTTCTTTTCTGCTAGAAAAAGATTAATACAAAAAAAATTATAGTTCAATGCACACAAACCTACAAGTATTCTTCTTTAAAACAACTTAAAACTTATTGCCTGCTCTATTCAGATTTTCTCTCTTTGCTATACTTCTTTCTCTCTTTGCTATACTTCTTTTGACTTCTAGTTTGAATCTACCTTTACCCTACTTTTGTCTTGAGCTTGGAATTCACAGGGCAGTAATTCCAACACAGATTAGACTGATCTCAAAATAAATGCTTGCTAAAAGCTTCATGCAAATTTAAAACACCAATGAGGAATGTAGAAAGTAATAGTTGCTCCACCCATTATCCAAAACCCAGTCAGAACGTTTGAGAAAATTAGCAGCCTCCTCTTTCTTACATACCCACACACACCCCTTCTATTCTTGCAAGCCATCAAAGGGCATGGACAGTGAGTCTCATAGCCTGTTGGTCTGAAAAATGGTCAATGTTGACGGTCTGCATGGGCCACATGGGCCACAGAGCCAAAGGGGTGCATCCCTGTTGAGCAGGAGCGGATTTGGGGCCTATCAATAGGCTTCGATATCGCGATACCGAAGCCTATCGAGGTGCAGAATTGGACAGGCATCGATTGGGCCCCATCCTGAGAGCAAGCACTCCCTGTCGATGCGCTTTGGTGGCTTGTAAGAGCAGAAGGGGCGCAAGAGTGAAAGGCCCCGGTACCGCTGTTGAGTCAGAGGTCTGGAGGGCTCTGGTCTGTGCCTGAGAACTCGTGGCACATAGCGTGTGGATCCCTGTAAGTGGGTATGAAAATAACACAGCCCCTGAGGTGTGTGAACATGGCAAGACATCACCACGTATGAGAGGGATCAATAGCTCTGGGTGTGTTGGCCTAGTGATGTTAGGCAGCTACTAGTCCTCAAGGCCCGTCGGTGTGAAAACCAGTCAATGCTGATAGTCTGCGGCGCTTCCCTGAGCCACATGGGCCTCAGAACCAAAGGGATGTATCCCTGCAAAGAAGGAGCAGATTTGGGGCCTATTGACCGGGAAAAGTCCTGAGTGGTTTTGCTGCCCTGGCAGGCAATTCGTGTCCCTTAAGTATGGGTGGCCATAGCCAAGCCATCTCTGTGCTGCTTCTGTTTGCAGGAGAATTCAGAGTCCAGGTTGCTTAAAGAGCGAGCTGAGCGCAAGCTTAGAGCTGCCCACGCCCCCCTTCCCATGCTTGCGCTGCCTAGATCTCCCTTGGCTGCCGCTGGAGCTTAGAGGCTTTCTCTGAGCTAAGTGTCTGTGCTTACGTTGTAGATGCCTGAAGTTATACAAGGTGAGTTTCCCACACCAAGTGACCCTAGCAGATGCATGTTTCCTGGGAGCGAAGGACAAATGTGGCCATGACAGAACAAAACAACTTAAAATGGAAAAATGGCAAGTAAATTCTGATTTTTTCATTTCAAAAGTAATATCTAGTTGTTCTTTGTGCAAGCTCTAAAAATACTTCTACTCCATGCTCTGCAGCACAATGTTTGCCCAGCCTCTTGAGTTATGCATCACTTTTGTTTTGTTTGCAATAGTTCAATAACTGGCTTTAAGCAGAATATTGCTATGAACCATACTTTCTGTTGGACTCTTGTAAATGTTACTTCCTATAGCCAAATGATATTTATTTGAGGTGCAGCAACCTATCTTACTCCTACATATAATTTCCAGGCTAGGAACTGAACACTTGTACTTTTTCAAAGCAAAAGATCAGATAGGAAATGACTGAAGATGATTGAAGATGTTTCTTCATTTAAAAGTTAGTTTTGCTTGTTGTTTTTGATTTTTTTAAGTCACTTTTAATGGAACTGTGGATACAAGCCGTTTTGGTGTGTCAACACTTCTCCCCATAAGGACAGAACTTCGTAACTAGCAGGAATCCAATGCACAAATCTAAAATATATTTATTGAAAAAAAAAAAAAAAAACCAGAAGCCCTTTTCTCTGTATTTTCACACACAGCAGTAATCTTGTCTAAAGAGTGCTCTGACCCACAAAATATACAGCATTATTTTAATTAAGAACAAAACAAAAGTAAACATAAGTTTTTCCTATTTAGAGCTGTGAAGCTACTGGCTGTCTCTCTCCTTCTTGGGAATTAAATCTTCAATTCATATTCCTCCTCTTCAGATTTTTGTTCTTCTGCATTGCTGACAAATCCCAGAATCACAGAATGGATGAGGTTGGAAGGGACCTCTAGAGATCATCTAGTCCAGCCCCCCTGCTCCAGCAGGGACACCCAGAGCAGGTGGCACGGGGTGGCATCCAGGCGTGTTTGAAGATCTCCAGAGAAAGAGACTTCACAGCCTCTCGCTGGACATCCTCTTTAGTCCATTGTGTTAATGCAAGATTGTGGTGGGGAGGGGGCAAGTATGAACTGGTAGTTTATAATCTTCATGTTTACTCCTTACTACTTACTTCCAACCCTATCTTGGTGCAGAATTTTTACAATCTACATTTTTCTATTTAGAATGATTTCACCATTTCCTTCTTCAAAAGAAAAAAAAAAGGACCATCAAATCCTGTCTTCACTGGCAGGAGGAGGACAGTTAAAGTAAGAAAGCTAGATAAATGGAGAGGTTCAGAGCTAGAACAGACTTGAGGATATAGAGAAGGATACGACCATTCTCAATATTCCAGGTTGAAAGGGTACTCCTTGAGAGTTTTGCACCTGAAGAAAATAAGGAAAAAAAAATATATTACTCATGCTTGAAATAAATGCTGCACTGGGTGCCTACAGAACCTTCCCTTGGAGGCTATAGATACTGTAATTACAGAATGAGCGTGTTTCAGGTGTGTTTTCTTGGGCCATATGTGCCATTTGTATACTAAGGAAAACCCTCTTCTGTCATTTAGACATTCACCATTCTACACAGGGTGCATGTGTAGAAGCACTGTGCTTAGATTACTACAAACTTAAGGGTTTAGGGAAAAAAAATAACAGTCCTTACATGTGCATTGCAAAGGCTCTCCAGTTTCTGTTGAAGCTGAGAATAGTTTCCATATCCTCTTTAGTCAATTCAAAGTCAAATACCTAAGGGGAGAAACAGCTAGAGGTCATCTCTTAGAGCAAACCAAAGATTGTGAGATTTACAAGATTCAAGAGCAAGTCCACGCTGGAGTGGTGCTGATTAGAAGCCATAGCCTCATGCAAGAGAGAAAGGTAGAAGTCTGCAGGCATTTCCAAGTCTCCACTGGCGGTGAGAGGGAAATGCCCCCACCCCCACACGCAACCCTGCTGCACATAATGTGTCAGCTGTTGTAAGAAGTTGGGTGAGCAGTTAGTGTTGCAGCACGCCTACATCTGCAGAGGTGACATATAGCTGTCCTACTCCAAAAGAACATCTAGAAGAATTCCTGTAACCCATTAATCCAAATATGTTACTTCTGACATTCATTGTCAACCAAGGACAGCTGAATTCAGAGAAGCAACTTGGCATTTAGACACCAAAACTATTTTCTTAGTGTTGGTTACCCCTATATCAGACTTTTTTTCTCCCCAAGATAATGTACGTGGCCTCCATGTGAGTCCTGCCTGCTGATTCATGCACAAGCACCAGAACATAAAGCATCATGTAAGGTGATTATTAAGGTTACCAATGCTTTACTTCTGAGAGCTGAGTACAGTTCTGCTCTGTGAACTGCAGCTGCTAGATTAGCCCTCACTAGACATACAGAGAGAAAAAGCCCAGTCTTGTATGAAGAGGATTTGGGAAAAGTAAGAAAGGATCACTGTTTGCTCTGCAGGGGCAAGGACTGCCATCCCAGAAGGGCATCACCCAGGTTGCCTGTAATCACTCACCTTGGAGTTCTCCACAATACGCTGTGGTGTGACAGACTTGGGAATCACAACCACATTTCTCTGGATCTGAAACCGAAGGAGAATCTGCAAGAACATATTGATGGATCAGAGAAGAGGTCTTCTGTTCTGTAAGAAGCAGAGTCTGTTCCAATAGCATCTTGCTCTGAAGTAGAACTAACCCATTTCTGCAGAGACGCATTTCACATCATTCCTGTACCCAAGACCTAGGAAGCACTTCTAGAAGAGCAAAGAGGAGTAGTAAAGCCTGCAGAAAGGTCTCCTTTCTCCTCCCTCATCCACTTCTAGGAAAGTAAGAGAGTCCCTTTAAGGATGCACTGCAGGCCACAGAGGACACACCTGCTTTGCTACTGTACACCAGAGGAGGGCCAGAGCTCACAGGGAATTAAGATTTAGCCTTGTATCCACAGCCTGTAGCTTTCACACAGCTGTGTTCCAGGAGCCAATACCCTATTCCCTGTTCTACCTCTACTTACCTGTGCTGGGGTTTTGCTGTACTTGTCTGCAATCACTTTAATCTTGGGGTCATCCAGAATGGAAGGATCCTCTGGCTTAGCCCTGCATGGAGAACAGAAGGCCAGTGGTGAGAGACTCTCGTAGTAAGCAACCCCAACCTAGCAGCAGAAGACCATGTCTAGCTGAATGGGTGAAATTGTGCAATTGTAGTGTCAATGCTTTGAGTATAAGTCATGCAATCTGCCTTACCGATTCCAAAGGAGTCTTACCAAGGCCTGTCTGGAGAGCCCAGAGGACTGTATGCTGTCACAGCAATTCCTTTGGAAGAGCAGTACTTGATCAGCTTCTCCTGGGTAAAGTATGGGTTACATTCAACCTGTCAACATAAAAGCACAGCGATCAACAGTGACAAAAATGCTGTAATTTGCTTGATGGATTATCTCCCAATCCAATTACTTTGTCCTAATTTGTCAGTCTCTATTGTATTATGCAGCCTTAGTTGTTTATGGCATCTATTTTCAGAATAAGTCTTCCTGCACCTTGGTATTTACTGCGAGGGAATAAAAGAGTTCCATACAGCCCATTCCTGGGTTCTTTGTCACTTCAGAAAACATTCCGAAATTCCTCTAAGACTTCCGGGCCATTCAGTAAATATTCAGAAAAGATCAGCTTTTTATGTACTTTCATATACAATATTTAATGTAGGCTGAGATGAAGACAATATGTTTCATCTATTCCATTTTTCCCTTTTTTCCTCTGCCCTTGTCATAAAACCCCCTTCCAAGGCTGTGTGAAAGGGTTCTATAGATATTTATAAGTTTGGATGTAGATATGTTTCTCTTCAGCCTGCTACTTTTGGCAACTCCATTTGCAGAGAAAGTGTGTGAAAGTTTCCTTAGAAATGATAAACTCTAGAGGCTAGCAGTCTTAGTGAATCATTAAGAACTACTGAACTCAGAGCTCTAAAAGATTGTTGTATCTGTAGAAAGCCTCTTGGATGAATAAATACTGACAACAGTTTAAAACTGCATCCAAGAGGTCAAGACTACAGAACTATGAATACATCCCCCTCCATACCATGACACAAGGCTCCAACTGAGGGATTTTCTGAACAGCCACCAGGAAGTAACTAGTGCCCCATTACATGCATGCCTTCTGCATAAAGGATTTAAGTTTACTAATTTACTCCAACTGGGTAGCTATACATGAATCATGCACAGAATTATGTGCATGCATGAGAGAATAAATGCATGTGAGCAGTTATCTGCCATCAATAATAGAATCAGGCAATTTATTACTAATAACAGATGAACAGCTGCAAGTGTTTTAACAAGTTATGGTTACAATTACTGTGTTCCACAACTTCATCCCCTATCAGGATACAGAAAATTTACAGCATCCTCATTTAACCCATCAGATATCAATAATCACAGAATCGCAGAATCATAGAATGGTTAAGGTTGGAAGGGACCTCTAGAGATCATCTAGTCCAACCCCCCTGCTCCAGCAGGGACACCTAGAACATGTGGCACAGGGTGACATCCAGACAGGTTTGGAAGATCTCCAGAGAAGCCGCCTGTGCCAGGGCTCTGCCACCCTCACAGCAAAGTTGTTCTTCCTCACATGGAGATGGAACTGCCTGTGTTTTAATTTGTACCTATTACCCCTTGTCCTGTCACTGGTCACAACCAAGAAGAGTTTGGCCCCATCCTCTTTACATTCTCCCCTCAGGTATTTGTACATATTGATAAGATCCCCTCTCAATCTTCTCCAGGCTAAACAGGACCAGCTCACTTAGTCTTTGCTCATACAGTAGAGGCTCCAGTCCCTTAATCATCACTCTATGAAGGATCCTCTCTAGAAGCTCCAAATCCCTCTTGTACTGGGGAGCCCAGAAATGCACCCAGTACTCCAGTGCAGCCTCACCAGAGCTGAGTAGAGGTGAATCCTCAAAGACCATTCACCTGCTGTAACATAGCAGCCTACCTGGTTATTTGCAGGCTTGTATTTCAGTCCTGGCTTGTTCAAGATTCTTTCAATCTGCTCATGGTTGAAGTTGGAGACTCCAATGGCTTTGACTAGGCCAGCATCCACCAGCTCTTCCATGGCCTAACACAAAAAGTCATTATCAGCAATGCCAGAAAAGGCCTTAAGAAGACATTCTTTCTGAGAGAGCTTACTTCCTTCATGAGAAGGATCAAAATAACGGCCTCATGATGCACAGAGTTCTTGACTCTCAGAGGGTAAAGGGGCCCCGGTATATTTGTGCCTCAATTCCCATCTCACCCCAGGCCAAAGCCTCAAGATTTCCTTGAGACTGTGGAAACTTACCCAGAAATTCCATGTGGAAAATATGGTTATTTGATAACCTGCTATTGTTCCAGAACTGGAGGGTAGAGTGCCCCAACTGTAGGCAGGATCACATCTTAAAATGTCTTTATTCCTGCAAAGTATGTTTGGACATTGCCCAAGAACTGTGTTACAGCTGCACTGAAGACAACTGTCTGGTTCTTAAGGTCAAACAAAGAACTTTATTTAGCTTCAGTCTGGGCTATGGCTCATCTGAAAGCAATAACACAGCTCATGGTAAGTGGTCAGCTCAACTTGAGCACATACGTTTTGGAAAGCTACCTTATACTACTATAAGTTCTTTCCAACTGACTTTGCACCCATGAGACAATTGTGCGACTTCTGAATGTAATGAAAACGTGGAAAAGACTGAGGACAGAAAAGATCATTCTCCCACAGTGGCAGAGCTTACCTCCCATGTATGTAGAATATCTGTGTTGCTGGGTATAGGCACGCCTTGGTCATCTCTTGGAAACAGCTCCTCTCCTGCCTGTCAGTGACAGAAAATTGTTGAAATACTCTGTTGGATGCTAGCTAAAGGTTTTGACAGATGAGAACATTGATAGCTTACATATATTGTCCAGAAAAGGAGACTAATACATTTTCTTGCCTATGTTCTTCAGTCATTTCTTTTTTCGTTCATGCAGGGTTATGAAATTTTTGCTAGTTACTATTCCCAGTAGAGATAGATTTATCTCTTAGACCCAGCAGAGTAGTGACTCAATCTACTTGCAGAACAGAGAAGAACAAACAAGTTTAATTCTTGTGGTTGCTCTATAATGTCCATTAAGGAAGACCTGTTCTTTTGTAAAAGTAAAGAACCTGATTAGGACTCAGGAACATATAAGTTAGGTCCGTACTGAACAACATGAGAAGAAAAGGTACCATATAAACACAGGTCTTTGTGAAGAAGCTTTATTTATACATTACTGGCACTAGGAAACTCAGAACAACTTGTGTGTACAGGATCACAGCTAGATTCCTGTGTCAAGTTTGCTCAACATGTAGAGAGTTCTATAGATGTCACAGTAATATGCAATTACAGTTTCGCTTGATGGCTTCATCCACCTGAAGTTAACTACAAGTCTGAAAGTGCAAAAAGCAGTTGAGGATCTCCTAAGCAAAAGGTAGGATGGAAATTTGAATCAGGCTGTAGCAGAAAGAAAAGGCTAAGAGCAGAAACAGTTAAACTGAGACAGTAGCTAATTTGAAGTACATGCAATCTGACAAAGTCTGATAGCAAAAAGCCCCACCTTTTGAATTGCACAATCTGCAGAACAACAGTAAAGTCTGACAGCAAAGGTCAGCTGCACTGTATTGAGTACTCAGTGATAAAAAGAGAGAAGTGGAAATCAGAAACATTTTCTCCTGTTCTGTGATTCTGTAACATTCAGAAGAAAGATTTTCTGCCAGGGAGTGAAATACAGGCCTCTGTCCCACCACCATGAGGGAGCTAAGGCCTTGCCAGAGGAGCATACCTAGGGTTTGCAAAGAAAAGGCAAGCAGTACTTGCAGCTGAGAGATCTGCCCCTACTTTTAGGTCTGCCTCTCCCTGGATCAGAAGGGCAGAGAACATTGTATAAGCAGCACACTTGGAGGCAGCGATCAATATCTGCTTCTGAATGAGCAACACTAGAGCACACGCGGACACCTGATAACCATTGATTGAAGGAGCTACAAACATAAAGTGGCTTGAAGAGCTCTCCCAGAGGGAAAGCCCGGGGCTTTCTGGTATGTACCTTCAACCCCATGGGCCAGTGCATGAGGTAGAGATCCAAGTAATCCAGTTTCAGGGCATCAAGAGTCTTCTGGCAGGCTCCCTTCACCAGAGTCTTCTCGTGGAACGTGCACCACAGCTAGAGACAGAAAGCCAAGGCCCACAGTGACCTCCTGCTAAGTGAAAGCTCTCAGGTGATCTCCAGACAAGCTTTCTAGCTTCTTTGGCTGCCAGTGTGGAATTAGGTCTTCCTATTGCTCTTCAAGTGGAGCTGTTCTGTGAGCAGAAATGTCCCATGACATCAAAATTGTTATATTTGGTGGCAGCACATGGACTGAGTTTGTAATAAACCCAAACACTAACCTTTTTCCATTTGTTAAAGCCTTTAAGATACAACTTTGCAATGCAGACATTCGTTAAAGGGTTCTCTTCAAGGTAACAATCAGTTTCAGTGATGAGGTTAATACTGCATTTCCTCCATAAGAGAAAGCATACCTTTTCTGGGACATTTGAGCTTTGTCACATGCAAACTCAGAATGTGGAGCATAAACTATATATCTCTATATAGGATGAGATAAAGCCAGAAGCTTTCATGAGTATTGACTTGAACTTTGTTCTATTTTGCTCCATGCGTTATCACAGTTTCTCTCTCATTCTTTAGTTTCCTCCTACAGACAGGCTCTGTGCAAAGCAGGTCTCCCTTCTGTAGATCCTATGGCACGAAATCCCTACCTTGCTGACGATAAAGAGATCCTCTCGCTTCACAACACCATCCTTGATTTTCTGCTGGATCCCTTCCCCAACCTCCTGCTCGTTTTGGTACACATAGGCACAGTCAAAGTGGCGATATCCAGCATCGATAGCAGCCATCACCGCAGCTGATACTTCCCCAGCTGGGGACTGGAGAAAAAAAAATAGAAAAGGAAAGGAAAAGTTGATATCCTAAGACAAAACATACAGGCTTTTTCCTTCCTAAAAGAAATACAAACAATGGGGATTTAAGAGGAATTCTTGCATGCACTGTTCTCATACTATATTCATATGAAACAAAGTCCCGTTCCCATGCAGGGCTCAGCCCAGAGGCCAGGTAGAGCAGAGGCCCCAAACATCTGGACAGTTCTCCAGAGCTGGATCAGGAAGAAATGAGTTTTGCATCGGAGCTCTGCGCTGCCTCTCTGCTAGCGCTCTGCTTCCCAGCAGGAGAAGCAGGTGGCAGCTGTGCAGCTGGGAGGATCTTTGTGTGGCCTCGGTCACTGTGCAGAGCATAGCAAAGTGCATCTCCGCTCCTCCCCTCCGTGCACCCCACCTCTAAGCCAAACACCACCTTGGCTGCTGCTTTCAGAGAGCTCCAAGAGCCTCTCACAGAAGAACTGCAAGAACACCGTGTTCCAACAGGCCTCATAACACCTGCTTTCAGACGCTGCATGGATCACTGATTTTGCAGTTCACATCAACAAAGCAAATCCCTTCAGCAGAACCTCCCTGACACGTGTGAATTGGCCTTTGAGGCAGTATCTAATTACTGGGCAATTCAAAGTAACCTCATCCTGGGGTTTTAGGTTATACAGCACCGAGCCTGCACTCACACCACAGATGAGCTAAACTCATCGGAGCGGCGGAAAGAGACAGGGCAACCACAGTGAGGGCTGCAGGACAGAATCGGCACCACACATAGGGCTGCTTTCCCCTCCCAGGGCTGCCGCCATTCCTGCGAAGAGCAAGGGGCCCCAGGAGGCCGCTGTTACCTTCCAGGTGCCCAGGCCCAGGAGGGGCATCCGCGTCCCACCACTCAGCTGTATGTAGGTTGCCATCTCCCCGGAGTGCGGCAGGCGCCTCCTGCACAGCCCTTTAATAGCTGCCGGGATGGGATAGGTCGGGTTGGGACCGCCCTCTCGGGCCAGGTCCCATGGAGGGCGTTACACAGAGATGTGAGGTATTTAAAAACAAATAACAGATGCCCTGCAATCATCTGTCCTGGGAGGCAGGTGGTGCAGTGCTGCAGGGAATCTTCCCAGTGTGGGCTGTGGCATAGAGGGATGTGACATGGTTCCCCCTAGGTATTGCCCATGGTGGCAGGAGGCAGCACCAGAAATGGTCAGACTTTGTACAGCAGTGATTCAAAAGCAGCGCGGCATCACGAGAGGTGTGAAAGGTCGCCAAGCCCTGCTGCGTGGCCAGGAAGAGACGATTTTCTGTCACTGAGAGGAGCCTGTGTCTGTTTTCTCCTGAGTCTGTTTTTTGCAGGGAGAGGTTTTGAAGGTTTTGTGATCCTGCGGTAAGGAGCTGGTCAGAGTGTGTGAAGACCAAAAATGAGGCTTGCTGGAGAACCCAGTTGAGGAAAGTAATTTGGCTTCCTTCTCCTCAGATACTTGAGTGGTCTTGGGCCCTGCAGCCTGCTCATGTTCTCCTCCCAAAGTGTGTATAGTTTTCCCTGATGATTTCTTGTCTGAGAGATGTTTCTACATGCTTTCATAAGATTTCAGGCAGAAGATTCACATTTTGCTGTGCTGTTTGCTCAGGCAAGAGGAAAGCAACTGTCAGGAACTTTAATCTAAGACGACCAATCAAAAGAACAGCAAGCACTGCCTTTGTTATTTTTGCTGCTTGTACATGATAGGTAATATTTAGCAGTTCTCTGCAGAAGCATGAAAAATGCCTCCGCCTCAATCCCTCTACTGTGTGTTTTGCCAAGCCCTGGGGTTGCATGTTCTATTCTTTCTGAAGCTTTTGTAGAAATACCTACATGACATTATCTCTGAAAATATTATGTATTTGAGTTGTAGATATCTAAGAATATTATGCATAACACAGCAGTGTGATGAAGCAAAGAACAAAGTATTTGTATGTTTCTTTTTTTTCCTGTGGTCCATTAATGACAAGAAGCCTCAAGATGCAGGGTGGCTGCCTATATCTGCCTCATAACCACAGGAGATAAGAAGCCTCAAGATGCAGGGTGGCTGCATGTGTCATATCTGCCTCATAACCACAGGAGACTGCAGGTCAGATTTTGTTCAAGGATTACTTTAAAGCAAAAGAGCTTTTTTGTTCTTTTGTTTCAGACAGAAGACTTCTAACCTATATTCTTTTACATTTGTCACAGGGTAAAGGGATTTTGAGGCAACATTAACCTGGTAAGCAAAATTTATTCTGTGGACCAGGGAATGGATAGGCTGTATCGCGGCAAGTTTCACATTTGCATTCACACAGCATTACAGTTAACTGCAATTCCTAGCCCGAGCCCAGCCCGGAGGAAACTCAGCACTCGTTCAGACCCATCTCCATGTCGGTAGTGACTCAGCATAAACACGAAGCAGTTCCACCTTATCTCCTCTGCTTCCTTCCTTTGGATTTCTGTGTAATACTGTTTCCCCCAGTCCCCGTTATTATAGTTTTCTATGGCCAGAGGTCAGCACAGGCTACCAGGAACCCAGGTATGATCAACAGCACAGTGCTGGCTATAGTGACAGCTCCACTAGGGTATTCCAGTTACTGTACGAGCATCCATGAAAGCAGGCAGAGCAAAGGCAGGACGCGCCGCCAGCCCCAGGCGGCGCTCAGAGAGAGTTCCTGAGAGAACCGCACTGTGGCAAATACTCATCGGAGGGACGTGTCAACACTTGCCAAAAAGGAGGTGGGGACCCAGACTGACCTTCCAGAAAAGCATGCAGCCGTCCCGGTGTCAGGATGCAGGGAGCACCAAAGCTTGACACCTCCTCTGGACAGCTGTAAGGATGACAATTGTGTGAAATGGGAGCAGGTGGAAGATCTGCGCTGCATGGGGGCAGAGCTACGAGAGGAGGTGGAAGAGCTGAGAAGCATCTGGGGGTCATAGAGGGAGATAGACTGGTGGTGCCAGGCTCTGGCCTCTGAAGAACATGAGCAAGGACCAGGAAGTCCCGAACAACAGCAAAGGAATACAGAATCCATCCACCAGCCAACACAAGGCAGAAGATACCAGGACAAAAATGAATGGAAAAAAGTCCAGACTCCAGGTGGCAGGAGAAATCCTTCTTCCCCCATCTCACCCTACCAGGTCCCCCGATGCAACAGGTACAAAGCTCTGGAGGATGAAGGGCAATCAATGGATGGTGAAGGTAAGAATGCCTTTCCTCCAAAAACATTGCTACCTTCAGAAAGGCCAACCTCCTGCACTGTGACCACCTGCAGGAGGAAAAAAAAGGCGGGTTATAGTCATGGGGGATTCCACAATAAAGGGAACAGAAGGTCTGATACACAGAAGGGACCCTTCTCAGAGGGAAGTCTGCTGCCTTCCTGGGGCCCGGGTTAAGGACATCGCCAGGAAACTTCCCAGCCTGGTTTGACCCATGGACTATTACCCCTTGCTTGCCCTTCATGTGGAGGGAGAGGAAGTGGCAATGTGTAGTCTGAAGGCAATCAAAAGGGACTTTAGGGAATTGGGTCAGATGATCAGGAACTTGGGCATGCAGGTCATCTTTTCTTCTGTTCTCCCTGGTCTTGACAGCAATATGAAAAGGAACAGGAGGATACAGTCTGCTAACACATGGCTCCTTGGTGGTATCATCACCTAAACTTTGGGTTTTTCAGCAACAGGAAGCCTTGTATGTCACCAGGGATGCTGGCATCAGATGGGATTCATCTTTCCCAAAGCGGGAAGAGGTTCCTTGGTCATAAGCTAGCAGGGCTCATTAATAAGGCTTTAAACTAGATTCAGCGGGAACGGGGAGTATCATCAGGGATGCGGTGATAAGTTTAGGGGGTGGCATACCGTACCATTCATTCCAGCTTAACACCAGAGCCAGGAAAGGATGCCTGAAGCCTAGAAAGGGAACACAGCAAAACAGGAGAGTTGCTGAAGGTCGTATAGTTGAGTTACAGTTACAGCTGTCCCAGCTAGAAAGAGGGGCGCACTGGGAGCCCGACTCAAATACCTCTGTGTAAACGTACGCAGCATGGGGAATAGACAAGGGGAATTGGAAATGCATGTGTGATTGCAGGGCCATGATCTCATCCCAGTTATTGAGACATGGTGGGACAGCAGGAAGGATAGGCCAGGAAGGCGAGGTGGCAGAGTTGTTCCTTATGTGAGAGAGCAACTGGAATGTATGGAGCTCTGCCTAGGACAGACTCAAGTGTGACTCAAGAGCCTGTGCGTGAGGATTAAAGGGCAGGCCAACAGGGGGGACACTGTTGTGGGTGTTTACTACAGGCCTCCTGACCAGGAAGAAAAAGTGGACAAGGCTTCTACGGGCAGCTGCAAGAAGCCTCACAACCACAGGCCTGTGTGGCTGTTGTCTGCAGGGAAGACTACACAGCTAGGAACAAACAGTTCAGGAGATTCCTGCAGAACATTGCAGATAACTTCTTGATGCAGGTGATAAGCCAAATGAGGTTCAACAAGGCCAAGTGCCAGGTCCTGCACTTTGGTTACAACAACCCCATGCAGCACTACAGGCTTGGGGCAGAGTGGTTGGAGAGCTGCACAGCAGAAAAGGATCTGGGAGAGTTGGTCAACAGCTGGCTGAACATGAGCCAGCAATGTCCCCAGATGACCAAGAAGGCTAACAGCCTCCTGGCTTGTATCAGGAACAGTGTAGCCAACAGGACCAGGGAAGTGATCATTCCCCTGTGCTTGGCACTAGTGAGGCCCCAGCTCAAATTTGGGCCCCTCAGTACAAGACATTGAGGTGCTGGAGCATGTCCAAAGAAGGGCAACAATGCTCATGAAGGGGCTGGAGCACAGTCTTGATGAGTAGTGGCTGAGGGAACTGGGTTATTTGGTCCGGAGAAGATGAGGCTCAGGGGAGACCTTATCGCTCTCTACAACTACCTGAAAGGATCTCTTCTCTGAAATAACCACCATAAATAGGACAGGAGGAGATCATAGAATCATAGAATCCTTAACGTTGGAAGGGATCTTTAGAAATTATCTAGTCCAACCCCCTTGCACATGAGCACGTGGCACAGGACTGCGTCCAAGTGGGTTTTGAAGATCTCCACAGAAAGAGACTCCACAACCTCTCTTAGCAACCTGTTTCAGTGCTCTGTCACCCTCACTGGTAAGAAATTTTTCCTTAAGTTCCTGTGGAACTTCTGGTGCTTCACTTTGTGGCCATTACCTCTAGTCCTGTTGGTGGCCACCACTGAAAAGAGGCTGCCCCCATCCTCCTCACTCCCTTGAGGTATTGATATACATTGATCAGGTCACCTCTCAGCCTTTTCCAGGCTGAACAGGCTAGGAAACTCTCAGCCCCAAGTTGTGCCAGAGGATGTTCAGGTTAGACATTAGGAAAATATTCTACACGGAGAGTAGAATCGGGAACAGGCTGCCCAGGGGAGGTGGTGGAGTCACCATTCCTGGGCATGTTCAAGAAACATGTAGATGACACACTTAGGGACATGGTTTAGCAGGCATGGTGTTGAAGGGCTTATGGTTAGACACAGTGATCTCGAAGGTCTTTTCCAACCATAATGACTCTATGAACAAGCCTTTACGCTTGTACTCGTTGGGTTAGTTGCCACTGGGTTGCTTTGTACTCAGCCAAGCACATTAGGGGAACATGCAGTGTGGCCAGAAATTTAACCACAGGTACCTTTGGGTCTGACCATCCCAGTAGATTGGGCTGAGGCTCCTATAAGGCAATTTTCTTCTAAACGACTATGCTGTTACTATAGTCTCATTCACTCAAACACTCACATCTCAGGCCCCAAAAGCCACTGTAGCACTGCCTTACGAGGCTTACCTGCATCCTGGAGGAAAAAGGAGTAGTTGAAACAACACTGCTAAGCTGAAGTCATTAAGTGGATCACATGAAGGATAAGCTTTATCAGGGGAAGCTTTACACATGCAGAATTATAGTGAGCTGAAACGTATCCCACTTACCACTTCAGAGAGTCCACACAGCCTAGCATGGAGGGAACATCACTTGCTCCAATCCCTCTGGATTTGGCTCTGGCCAACAGCTTTGCACCAATGCTTCACAGTTCCACACTGTACCCTTTGCTTCTCCACTGTATCAGACATATTCACTGCAGTGTTTCCCCCAGCTCCTTTACTGTTGGCTTTATTCTAAACAACTGTCAGCCCAGGCCACTAATCAGATCAGTCTACAATAATATCACAGTATGATTTCTATCAGTTTTCAGTATTGCGCTCCTGTTGCCTGTATCAAAGGTCACCCCATCCAAGTGACACTTGACAATGTAATGTCAGCCAAATGTTTTTGCACTGCGTTATTCACCTGAGTGAATGGTTAACACAAGCTTTGCACTCTGATTTGTCAATACTCACATACCCAGAAGAACACAACTTCTATACCGTTGGTAATCTGACCATTTTTGGTTTGGAGAGAATGCAAACACCATTCTCTGTTCAGTTTTGATATGTAAATTGAAGTTTGGTTAAAATAAGGACTTAATATATTGAGTCTGTATGAATTGCAGGTCCTAATGCCTTTCTCACTTACTTTTCCTCAAAAACACGTTTTGGGTTGTGCCTATAGTGAAGTATGCAGTTGTTTCACTTTCAGACAGTGATGATGTAGTTCAAATTATTCTTCCAGATGGATCTTTCTCCTGTTCTTACATATCCTGACCCTGCAACCTTAAGTAGTGGTGATGCAAGACAAATGCTAAACACCAACCAGCAGTTTGGAGCATTTCCATGTTTTCCGCTTAGTGTTTCTAGCCAGGCAAAGACATTTATTGAATGAGCAGAGAATTTTAATAGCCCGCATTTTCTTCTTTAGAACAATTTTATTATACCCTTCTGCCAAAGAAGGAAGACAAAACAGTTACTAGGTACAGGTGCTGTGTCTTTGCTAGCAGCAGCAGGACTGATACAGCAGGCAAGCTGTGGAGTGGACAGCTCTAGGCCACAGTAAAGGCATGTTAGACCCCAGGGGGCTGGAGGAGATCAGGATAAAGCTGTCCTCAGTATTCCACGTTGAATGGGTATTCCTTGTGAGTTTTGCACCTGAAGGGTATCAGAGAGGAGAGATTATTCACATGCCTGAAATAAATTCTATGCAGAGATGTACTGGATGCTTAGAGGAACCACACTATATAACCACATAACTAATTTACTTTTGGTGTGAAAATAGTGCATGTTACCAGTGAATTCCCAAGTCCTTTTCTGTTATTCAGACACTAGCTATTCAAAGGTGGTATGACCAAGTTCCTTTATAAATAAAAGTATCAGTTCACTGTTTACTGCCTGAAATACAGTTTCCATGGCCTTTCTGGGGCAAATATGGATTCTGTATCCATATTTGGATACAGCCCTCCAAGGTGCCTATCTGCAAGCATTTGTTCCTCATATTGCACTTCAGACAGTCATTCCCTCCCACAACCTATGAAAAAACTGCCTTCAGTTTTTATAACAAATTTGATAAAAAGGAAAGTGACAGTAAATTCAAGCCTGCCATACACTCATGGCTAATACCAAAATAATCAGTTACAATTTTTCTGTTGGAATTCCAGTTACAGAAAGTTTCCTGGAGAAGTCAAGTGAATATATAGCAAGACTTATGCTCATCATTTTGTCAAAAAAGTGAAAATACAAAAAAAATCCCATTGTATTATGTTTTAAGGTTAACCATCTGTAATTTGAGCTAAGGACTTCAAACTATGCCTCAAAGCTTCAAAATAGTCAAAGTAGCTTCAAAATCATACCTGGGAGTTTAAGCACAAAGTTTCCTGTAAAGAATACTCAGAATTCAACTCAGAAGAGTTGAAAAACAAGCTGTCACTCACATGATCATTTCACAGATTCTCCAGTTTCTGTTTAAGCTGAAAATGGCTGCCATCTCCTCTTTAGTCAGTTCAAAGTCAAACACCTAACAGGAGAAACAGCTAGAGGTCATCTCTTGGAGAAACTCAAAGATTTGAGATTCACAAGATTAAAAAGCAAGTCCACACTGGAGGGGTGGTGGTCAGAAGTGATGGCCTCATGCAAAAAGGAAAGTGAAACTAAGTCTATAGGCATTTCCAAGACTCCACTGGCAGAGGGAGATCACTTCCTTTCCTCCTGCCCAAGTTACAGGCAATGTCTGCTGTTCTAAGAAGCTGTGATGGCAGTTAGTGTTGCAGCACACCTTCATTTGTGAAGGCTTTGACCTGTCCTACTCCAAAGGAATACTGGAAGAGTTTTTGTAACCTGTTAATCCAGATAGGTTACGTCTGAAATCCTGATGTCCAGTGTCAATCAGGGATATTTGAACTCACAAAGGAGCATCATGTAAGGTGACTGCTAAGGTTACCCACACTGTTTCCAGCAGCTCTGCTCATTTCTGCTCTGTGAACTGCAGCTGCTAGTTTAGCCCTCACTAAACCTCAGGTAAAGTTGCAGAGAGAAAAAGCCAGCTCCTCCTGGGTGAAGAGGATTTGGGAAGGGTAAGAAAGGATCACTACTTTCTCTGCAGGGGCAAGGGCTGCCATTCCTAAAGAGCAGCGCCCAGGTTGCTTGTAATCACCCACCTGGGAGTTCTCCACAATACGCTGTGGTGTGACAGACTTGGGAATTACAGCCACATTTCTCTGGATCTGAAATCGAAGGACAACCTGCAAGAACAGACCATTGAGTCAGACAGCAGATGTCTCTGATGTATTACAGGCTTAGATCGTATTGCCAGAAGAGCAAAGAGGGAGATGGTAGTACGCGCAAGGTCTCTGTTCTCTTCTCCCATCCAACCTGCATTGCTACAAAACATCACAGAAGAGAGCCATGTTTCACATGGTAGAGTTTAACACACACCATTCCCTCGAGCACAGTTTCCTTACAGCTGTGCCTCAGGAACCAGTACCCACTTTACTGCTCTTGCCTACCTGGGCTGGGGTTTTGTTGTGCTTGGCTGAAATCTCTTTAATCTTGGGGTCATCGAGAAGTACGTCAGAGGAGCCTTCACTTCTACTGAGGAAAAAAAAGAAAGGGCAGGCCTCTGCACAAAGATTCTACCCAAAAGAGTTAGAATTGCATGCACACATCCACACCAGTGCTTATTCAGTTTGTCTGAAGGCCTCAAGCTTAATAAGTACTAACTCACTTGTAGATTGGAATTTACCTGTCAGGGCGTCCAAGGGGACAATATGCTGTCACAGCAATCCCTTTGGACTGGCAATAGTTGATCAGCTTCTCCTGGGTAAGGTATGGATGGCATTCAATCTGCCAACACAAGAGCAGAGACTGGTAGTGGCTGAAAAATTGCCGTGCTGCTCTACTCCGATTACACACTGCCTTCATCATAGCTTGTGCAATAACACAAAGCTATAATGCTGCAGGGTGCCAAGTTTAAAGTACATAAGGACTTAGCATAATTTTGCTGAACGGATTAAAAAAATGGTTGAATACAACCACAGGATCAGGGCTTGTCTCTGTATTCGTTATTCTTTAAAAAAACAGAGAAAAAGAAAATAAGAAAGAAAACCTATACAACTGTTCCAGCATATGACAACAGTGGTTCAGCAAATTCAAATCCAAAAAAACAAGGAAACATCCTGGGAGCTTGTATTGCCTACGGTGGGATTTAGAGAAACTACTGCATCCACTCCATTCTCTCTTTTTCTAAATCCTCATTTGACTGTAATCAGATCTTGATAATCCTTGATGCGCATTCACTCATAATCCTTGAGGAGCATTCACCTGCTGTAGTATAGCAGCCTACCTGGTTATTTACAGGCTTGTGCTTCAGCCCCGGCTTGTTCAAGAGTCTCTCAACCTGCTCATGGTTGAAGTTGGAGATTCCAATGGCTTTGACCAGACCAGCATCCACCAGCTCTTCCATGGCCTAACACAGAAAGGGCAGCAAAGTCGTCATCAGAATTACCAGACAACGCCTGAAGAAGAGATTCCTCTTGATATGGCTTACTTCAGTTCATGAGAAGGACCTAAATGATTATTTGGACAAGCAAAGGCTGCCCTTGATTCTCTGAGAAAAATAGAAACACTGGTACATACAAGCTAAGCCTCCCTCAAGGCTCACCCAAGACTTAAGTCTCATTCTCTGAGGCTGCAGAACTTACAAAATATCATGTGGAAAACAATAACGAACTTTTGTTCCATTGAATCTTTCCGGTAATTCTGCATCCATGAGACAATTCCTCATCTGCTGAAAGTAATGAGAACATGGGAAAGACTGAAGGACAGAAAACATCCTTCTCCCACGGTGGTTCAACTTACCTCCCATGTATGCAGAATATCAGTGTTGCTGGGTATTGCCATGCCTTTGTCATCTGTAGGAAGCAGCTGCTCTCCTGACTGGTAGTACAAGAGAAAACTGCTTGAAACAATCTGTTTGGAAGCTAGCTTAATGTTGTGACGGCTTATGCCTATGACAAAAAAAGAAAAAGTCTAGTGCAGAACATATGTATACTTATTTTTGTCTACATTCTTTGGTTACTCCACATGAAGAAGAAATGAGTTATTGCACTTTTTTTTCCAGCAACTAACCAATGAAGACAGTTAGTTCCATCACAGTCAACAATGTGATGGGTCACCAAAATACGTTTTGTACTTTGGGGAGACAAAACATGCCACTTGTGTGGAAGTGCAGATCCAATGCTGATACACACAAGAAATACTGATCTTTTTTGGCTGGAGCAACAGCTGAGCTGTAAAGCACTTGAAAAGTGCCAGCTGTAAGAGACAGCAGTTCTAAGACAATATTGTTTACACCATACCTTCAACCCCATGGGCCAGTGCATGAGGTAGAGATCCAAGTAATCCAGTTTCAGGGCATCAAGAGTCTTCTGGCAGGCTCCCTTCACCAGAGTCTTCTCGTGGAATGTGCACCAAAGCTGGAGACAGAAAGCCAAGGCCCATAACGACCTCTCGCTAAGTTAAAGCTCTCAGATGCTCTCCTGAACAGCAGAAAAGCTTTCTAGCTTCTTTGGCTGTCAACATGGACTTAGGTCTTCTAATGGTGCCTGCTCTACCAGCAGTTAGACCATGATAGTAAGCGCAGTATGTGCCATAGCAATGCACACATTTGAACGCAGCAGCAATTCGCTTCCGTTTGTTCACTCATCACTTAAAGACACTGACTGCAAGGTCAGATTTTGGGTAGAAGAGGACAGTCTTCTGTCAGACCTAACTTCATAAGTTTCTTGCAATGTATTTAGCAGGTAAATCTGTAAGCACACGATACAAACCACACAGAAAATCTGAAGCAGGCGTTTAGCAACGCAAGAAGTAACTTCAGAATCCAGCTTAATGTAGAGTTTAATAAGCAAGATAAAGAAAATCCACAGCTTTCCTGGGACACGTACTGGGCCCCTGCTTTGGGCAGGATGCCGAGGGCCCCGCGTGGGAGGCTCCCGCGGGTGCCCGGTGCCCACCTTGCTGACCACGAAGAGGTCCGGCCGTGCCACGGCGCCCTCGGCGATCTTGCGCCGGATCCCTTCGCCCACCTCGCGCTCATTCTGGTACACGTA